ACAACAGAAAGTTTAATATTATACAACAGAAAGTTAAATATTATACAACAGAAAGTTTAATATTATACAACAGAAAGTTTAATATCATACAACAGAAAGTTTTCCTCAACGCTTAAAACAAAATAACAATATCCTGAAAATGTGTCAGTTAATTGAGTTTAATAAAGGAGAGAGGCTGCTCAAGATCATATATATAATTTTTTATTTTTAATTTCCGCTTAATACAATAAACTGTTTTTATTATCAGTTTTCAAAATTGTTTGTAAGGCTTTACAATAAACAGTATTATGAAGGTCTTAGATGTTTTAGTTTCATGTTTAATAGAAATAGAAATTATTCAGACTTATTATGGTGAAATGGTGTCTTAATTATGTCTTCTTCAGTTTAGTAAATATGGCGAAACACTCAGAATTTTTACTTTTAATGTTTAATTTGTAAGTCTCACGGGGGTGATAAATGAGGTACTTGTGCAAGATTTGGGTATCTTTATTATGGAAAGTTTTCGTCATGCAGAGGCTTCTTCAGTCCAGTACAAGACAGGTGGAAGATGAGGAAGAGTTTGAGGTAATCAGTCCCTCAGCCTGGAGTTGATGTGTTCAGTCCATCAATCATTGACAAGACTGATAGACTGAACGCATCAACTCCAGGCTGAGGGACTGATTACCTCAAACTCTTCATCTTCCACTTGTCTGAACTGGACTGAAGAAGCCATTGCATGACGAAAACTTTCCAGAATAAAGGTACCCAAATGTTGCACAAGTATCTCATTTATCAACGTGTGGATTTTGTAAACAATTTATTCACGGCTCACAGGGGAGTACTTGTAATTAGTAGTGAGTAATAACATTGGTAATTAAGAGAAAATAAGTTATTTAATATTTAACCTTCGTGAGTTATTTAATACCTACTAATTAATAAGCATTATCTAATATATTGAACATAATCATCATAATTTTACAAAAAAAAAAAAAAAAAAAATACTGAAAAAAAAGTGTGGATATCGGTCTAAAATCCTAGTATCGTCCCATCCTTATTGAAAATATGTTTCAACAAGCCAAATGTCTCCCCTCGTCCCATGATCTGCCCCCCCCCCCTCCATTCCATACTAGAAATAAAAGTGTATTGGAAGAGGATAGAGTACATGTTTAATACAAGTATATAGCGTAATAAAAGCTCATCACAAACATCATCTCTAGCAATAAGTGAATAAAAACATTCAAACAACGAGTTATAAATTGGAAGCAAATAATTTCAGCGAAAATAAACTAATTATTATTTATTTAATCATGGAATTCCTGAATATTCAATTACACAGTCAGATATTGCACAGACAGCAACAGAAAGTGAGAGTATTATCGGGGATACACGTAAAAAAAAGATAAATAGTATTCTTCAAGCCTGTGGCTCTCACAGTGTTTCGTTCAACTTTAAACTTCTATAAATAAACAGCCTAGTTCGCTGCCAATTATTTCTTGCTGTTTCTTTTCCGCGTATGACTTTGTATATAAAAATATATCCTGTGTACATTAGAGAAATCTCTAACTATATGATATGTCGTGATCATGTCTCCTCTAATTCGTCACCTTTACTATAAGAGATCTACTCAACTGATGTTTCTGATTATGTAACACGTCGTAATCATGTCTTCTCCTCAACTCTTTGTGATGCAAATTTTTCTCTTCCCGTATCCCCGTTTTCTTAGTTGTGCAAGCAGCGTCCTGGCAAATCTCTATAGTCTCAATTTACTTGTAAGGTGAGGGTTCCACACTGGCGCTGCGTACTCTTGTACTGCTATTCAGTATGTTATGTATAGTGTTCTCTACACTTCATATTACTCAAGGCAATTCTTATTTTTCTCCGGTTTGTGTATGCCGCCGATGTTATCATGTGCGGTGTATGTATGTATGTGCGTGTATGCACGCGCACGCACGCACGCACACACAAACACACACACACACACACACACACACACACACACAAACACACACACACACACAAACACACACACACACACACACACACACACAATAGTCAGTAGTCAGAGTAGTCAGGAAGTGGAATAGCCTAGCCAGTGAGGTAGTGGAGGCAGGAACCATACATACCTTTAAGATGAGGTATGATAAAGCGCATGGAGCAGGGATAGAGAGGACCAAGTAGCACTCAGTGAAGAGGCGGGGCCAGGAACTGAGTCTCGACCCTTGCAACCACAATTAGGCGAGTATGATTAGGTAAGTACACACACACACACACACACACACACACACACACACACACACACACACACACACACACACACACACACACACATTAAAGGACACATATTCATTCAGTCAAATTTCTACTACTGTGTACGCATGTTGTGCGTATTCATCCCGTGTCTACTTATCCTATGAGAGAGAGTATGACTAAAAAGTGTGATGAATGGTTTTGAAAACCGACAAGTTGAAGAATTGAGACACTTATGCAACATATGGGAATCTTTATTGAAGAAATGTTTCGCCACACAGTGGCGAAACATATGTTGCATAAGTGTCTCAGTTCTTCAACTTGTCGGTTTTCAAAACCATTCATCACAACTGTCAGACACTGCAGCATCATGGGATCTTGATACAAATAAGTCTTCAAACTTGTCCAAACTTCGGACGAAGACCTACTTCGACTAGTGGATGGTACCACTATGACCCCGCCTCCTCCTGCTTCACCTCACCTGACTACAGTATATAAGCAACGTCTACGGTCTTATGCTATACATTCTACAAGATTGATGGACTAAACACATCGACTCCAGGCTGAGGGACTGATTACCTCAAACTCCTCCTCTCCTTACACCTTTCTGCTTTGTATTGGACCGATGAAGCCACTGTGTGGCGATACATTTCTTGTAAAGTAAAAGGACACAAGTGCAACTAATGTGACATTTTATTGTGGCAATGTTTCGCTCTCCAGGAGCTTTATCAAGCTCCTGGAGAGCGAAACGTTGCCACAATAAAATATCGCATTAGTTGCACTTGTGTCCTTTTACTTTACATATTGTCGGTAATTCTACCAACATTATTACGATACATTTCTTCAATAAAGATTCCCACATGTTGCATAAGTGTCTCAATTCTTCAACATGGCTGAAAAGTGCGAGGACGTGGTGCCTAGCATGGGCTAGTACACCCAACCCACAGCTCCGTTATTCTCCTCACTGAATATCAATAATTTTATTAGTGCGGTTTTTCGCTCAATGTTAATTTGCTAATTGTTAATTCCAATTCAATTGTTAATTCCAGTGAGTGAAACGTGCTCATTATAAACGTCGTAGTGAACATTAAAATAGTATAAAATACCGACAGGTTGTTAGGTAAGACACATATGCAACAGTTAGGTATCTTTATTTCGAAACGTTTCGCCTACACAGTAGGCTTCTTCAGACGAGTACAGAAAAGTTGATAGACGCAGAAGATACTTGAAGACGATGTAATCAGTCCATCACCCTTGAAGTTTTGAGGTGGTCAGTCCCTCAGTCTGGAGAAGAGTATTGTTCCATAGTCTGAAACAATGGGTGATGGACTGATTACATCGTCTTCAAGTATCTTCTGCTTCTATCAACTTTTCTGTACTCGACTGAAAAAGCCTACTGTGTAGGCGAAACGTTTCGAAATAAAGATACCTAACTGTTGCATATGTGTCTTACCTAACAAACGTCGTAGTGGTGCACCTGTGTCTTATTCACACAATGGAGATAAACAGTATAAAATACCAGCACGATGGAAAAAACATAAGGAGGAACACTACATTACTTGGGAATTCTTCACTTGCCTAATTCTTGGGCACGACCTACTTCCACATTGAACAAATGTGACACCACCTATGACTGCTGCACCTCTCCTACCAATGGTTTATAGGCTCCTCCGCACGTATGCCGTATTCTATTCAAGATTGATGGACTGACCACATCGACTCAAGGTTGAGGGACTGATTACCTCATTCTCCTCCTGTTCTTCAAGATTCTCTTTTGTATGGACTGATGAAGCCACTGTGTGGCGAAACGTTTCCTCAATAAAGATACCCAAGAGTTGCACATGTGTCTAATTTATCAACATGTCGGTTCTCTGAACCATTCATCTACAAATACATTAGGCCTGTTGGCCCATACCAGGCAGGTCCTTCACAAATCCAACTCACTAACAGAAAAACGCTACCCAAGCAATAAGCTTCAATAATTCTATTTACTCAGATCCAACCCCTCTCACTCATGAATTCATCCAACCTAAATTTGAAACTACCCAAGGTTTCAGCTTCAATAACCCTACTAGGCAGACTGTTCCATTCATCAACTACCCTAAAAATGCGATCATTTATTGACAAAGTTTCGCCCACACAGTGGAATTTATCAAGTCACAAACAAATCTACCTGGGCAAAGAGTACATGAGGAAATGGTATGGTGATACCGACAAGATGTGGAAAAAGACACTTATGTACAGTTCAGGACATTTATTAGAGGAAACGTTTCGCCACGAGTGGCTTCTTCAGTCCTAATGGACTGAAGAAGCCACTCGTGGCGAAACGTTTCCTTTAATAAATGTCCTGAACTGTACATAAGTGTCTTTTTCCACAAAAGTACATGAGTATATATAGGAGAAAACGTCACAGGAACAGTGACTTTTTTTCCCATAGCCAAAATTGTGACTTATTTTCTGTCACTTTTTTTCCTGTGACTTTTTTCCCGGACACCCGAGTCAGGTGGAGAATGTTGGGTAGGTTGGATCTGAGGCAGACCTGCACGGGTCAGGTCTGTCTCAAATCCAACATTCTCCACCTGGCTCTCCACACTATATATAGACATATTCTTTACCCAGGTAGATCCGTTTGTGACTTGATAACGCCCACTGTGTGGGCGAAACGTTGTCAATAAAGGATCACACTGTACTACATTTGTGTTTGTTTTTCCATCTATTCACAAAGTGTTATGTTAGCTGCTACCATCTCTTACGCAGATTTTTTCTCTTGACAGATGCCCCGTACTGCGCCGGTCCCTCGGAACAGAGCTTGGTAGTGGCGAGCAACACCTCCGTCACACTTACCTGTCGCGTGGAGGCTGTACCTCGCGACCTCAAGTTCACCTGGAAGATGGGGTCACCCGTGGCAGTTCTCAAGGGGAAGGGGGAACCCCCGCCTCCAAGACACAGTGGGGACCTGCCCTCCACCAGCCTGTCCTCACCACCTGTGGGCGGCGGTCCATCCTCCATGCACGCTCACACGCCACGCCCACAGATGCCCCTGGGCACCTACCCTCCACGATTGGAACAGGTGCAAGTCTCCAAGAATGTTGTAAGAGTGGCCGCGTCTGTGCAGGTGGCAGCAGCGTCACCTTCTGCGGTGGCGGCGTCACCCTCAGAGGCAGCGTCACTTTCAGAGGCAGCGCCACCTACGGAGGCCGCCTGGAGGAAGCTGGGGAAGGATTCCTGGGAGGTGAGAGGATCCATGGAGGATGGAGAAGAGAGGGAGGTGGAAGGACGTGTGGACGGCGGTCACCCTGACCGCTCCTCCCTCACCCTCACGCCCGCAGCCTCCATCCTCGTGGGATGCTACGCCCGTAACAGTGTCGGACACATCAGGATCCCCTGCACCTATTCTATCACCGTGGTGGGTCAGTACACTGTGTGTGTGTGTTGTGAGTGTGACTAGCTATTTGTAGCTATTCTACTAGTCAAGCTATGCTACACCTCTGACCGATTCAGAGAATTCGTCTACCCTCTCAGCCCGACCTAAGGCTAGGCTTTTCTCTTGACTGCCTCTTCAACTGTCTTATCACTGTTATATAACAGTGGTCAACCACCACTGGCTTACAACTCCTATATAACAGTGGTCAACCACCACTGGCTTACAACTCCTATATAACAGTGGTCAACCACCACTGGCTTACAACTCCTATATAACAGTGGTCAACCACCACTGGCTTACAACTCCTCTATAACAGTGGTCAACCACCACTGGCTTACAACTCCTATATAACAGTGGTCAACCACCACTGGCTTACAACTCCTATATAACAGTGGTCAACCACCACTGGCTTACAACTCCTCTATAACAGTGGTCAACCACCACTGGCTTACAACTCCTATATAAAAATGGTCAATTATCACTGACTTACCACTCGTATATAGCAGTGGTCAATTATCACTAACTTACCACTGGTGTATAACAGTGATCAAGCACCACTGTTTGACCACTGCTGTATATCATTTGATAATAACAGTGGTTACATCCATCCCAGGCTGGCTGATCTGGAACTTGGCGGAGGTAGTGATCGAGTTTCTTGAAACCTTCCGGCATTTTCTGATATCAGGCTGAGGGACTGACCGCTTTAAATACTGTTTCTCCAAGGCTGATAGACTGATAACATCTTTATTTCGCTACTACACTTGCTGCCTCTGCACTTGACTGAAGAAATCTACTGTGTAGGCGAAACGTATCAACAAAAACAGTAATAATAATAATAATAATAATAAGAAGAAGAAGAAGAAGAAGGAATAAGAATAAGAAGAAGAATAAATTAATTGGTGCTAACTGATTTCACCGTCGGAAAAAAAAATCTAAAAATTTATTCAGCTATATTCGGTTGAAAGCCCGTTTGCCAAAATTTATTTGTCTAATTAAAAAGCACAGTGCGAAATTGCAGAAGAGAATTCTCTCTGATTAAATAAAACACAAAGCTTGGGTATATATATATATATATTTTTTTTTCATATATTGGCAGAAAACTAAACATATACTGCACTGGGAAAATAATTTCATATATATGAAAACAATGTGTGAGTGACGAAAGTACTGTGTACGTGTTACGGTAGGCTAGAAATACCTGTGTATCTTCAGGTGTACCTGTGTATTTTTAGGTGGGTGTACCTGTGTATTTTTAGGTGGGTGTACCTGTGTATCTTGAGGTGGGTGTACCTGTGTATCTTGAGGTGGGTGTACCTGTGTATCTTGAGGTGTACCTGTGTATCTTTAGGTGGGTGTACCTGTGTATCTTTAGGTGGGTGTACCTGTGTATCTTTAGGTGGATGTACCTGTGTATCTTGAGGTGGGTGTACCTGTGTATCTTTAGGTGGGTGTACCTGTGTATCTTTAGGTGGGTGTACCTGTGTATCTTGAGGTGGGTGTACCTGTGTATCTTGAGGTGGGTGTACCTGTGTATCTTGAGGTGGGTGTACCTGTGTATCTTGAGGTGGGTGTACCTGTGTATCTTTAGGTGGGTGTATCTGTGTATCTTGAGGTGGGTGTACCTGTGTATCTTGAGGTGTACCTGTGTATCTTTAGGTGGGTGTACCTGTGTATCTTGAGGTGGGTGTACCTGTGTATCTTGAGGCGGGTATACCTGTGTATCTTGAGGTGTACCTGTGTATCTTGAGGTGGGTGTACCTGTGTATCTTGAGGCGGGTATACCTGTGTAGCTTGAGGTGTACCTGTGTATCTTGAGGTGGGTGTACCTGTGTATCTTTAGGTGGGTGTACCTGTGTATCTTGAGGTGGGTGTACCTGTGTATCTTGAGGTGGATGTACCTGTGTATCTTGAGGTGTACCTGTGTATCTTGAGGTGGATGTACCTGTGTATCTTGAGGTGTACCTGTGTATCTTTAGGTGGGTGTACCTGTGTATCTTCATCAGAGTATATCTACGGCGTTATATAACAGTGGTCAACCACCACTGTCTTACCACTGCTATAACAGTGATCAACCACCACTGTCTTACCACTGCTATAACAGTGATCAACCACCACTGTCTTACCACTGCTATAACAGTGATCAACCACCACTGTCTTACCACTGCTATAACAGTGATCAACCACCACTGTCTTACCACTGCTATAACAGTGGTCAACCACCACTGTCTTACCACTGCTGTAACAGTGATCAACCACCACTGTCTTACCACTGCTATAACAGTGGTCAACCACCACTGTCTTACCACTGCTATAACAGTGGTCAACCACCACTGTCTTACCACTGCTATAACAGTGGTCAACCACCACTGTCTTACCACTGCTATAACAGTGATCAACCACTACTGTCCTACCACTGCTATAACAGTGGTCAACCACCACTGTCTTACCACTGCTATAACAGTGACCAACCACCACTGTCTTA